TAAAACTATTGGTTACCGATGGAGAAACAAATTGATACTGATCGTCAACCACCAGAGACGTAGGGACATTATATTTTTAATCCTGAACATCGTAATATTTTTCCACGATCTCGTTCGCCATTCCTCAAAATCCACGCCACCGATTGCCAGGAATGTGCCACATGAAATCCGAAATTCCGCGAATCACAACAGCAATCGTGAGAACGTGGATATTCCACTCGAGTCTCGTCAAATCGTAGTTGCTTCGAGGCGAAGAATCAACGAGGTGGACTTCGTTCCTAGTTAATTTACTCTCTCTCTCTCTCTCTCTCTCTTTCAGCAACGAGATTTCGCATCCCGAATTCTTCGGCCGAAATTTCCATTTCACCGACTCTCTCTTTCTCCCTCTTCCTTCCAGCCTCGTCTTACACGAGGGAAAATTAATTTTCCAATGGGCGAACTAACCTAATCAAACCTGGTCCTCGTTTGTCCCCGGCAATAACTGTATTATTGGATATAAGAAGGGCCTTGGAGCTAAAATGCTTCGTTAGATTTGACTAACAGGCTCTCACTTTGTAAGATTTGCATAAAATTGTATAAAATATTCAACTGCTTCATGGTTAACAGTTCTCTCAGTTCTTTGACTGTAAAGAAAACTCGGAAAAGATTTATCATAGTGAACCAGGAGAGCGTGATTAGTAAACAGTGCTCGAATGAACGAAGAACATTGTTTCGATGTTATATTCGTATTATATGTAATAATTGTGAAATAATGTTCTTTCTTGGTTCTGCGATTAAGAACGGATTCGTCACAGTGAGAATCCGGGGACCAATCGTTTGTTTCTAAACGAACACAGTTAATTAGTTTAACACGACGTCTATACAATTTTAATAAAATAATTTCGTAATTATAATATTCAATTGCATTAATTTTATAATTATAATAATACAGTTTCGTAATTTACTTTGCAATTATAATTACAATTTTCATCTGTAATAGATGGGTCGTTTGTTTCTACAAACTGAATACCGATTTCACGCAACACCAATACAATTTCACAATTATAACAATACAAATTCATAATCTAATCGATATTAACTTCATAATTGTAATCAGAATTTCTAATGATGCAATCCTGATGATAAAATAATCCAGAATTCCTGATATACGATATGAAGAAATTAATAATACTTGAACGGCATACTTGAACATTCCTCGATTCAACTCGCGTGTAAAATCTCGAGCAGCCGAGCGATTGTCAGCCTTTCAGATTGATTCGAAATAAACCGCCATAGAAATACATATCCCTTCCTTTTTCTCGCGTTTTGATCCGTCCTCGTATAAAAGCCGCGCGCCAGCCGAGCGTTTAAAGCCGGCCATTCGTATTAATTATTCCCACGTCGGGCTGATTAACGAGTTCACCAGTGCAATTTGTAGTCACGCTCGCCAACGGCCAGTCTAATGATAATAAAGCAGGGGGG